GCTGTTCCCTACGGAGGCCTCCTCGCTTGTCTGTGTAGGGGGGGGGGAGGGGAAGAGGGAGCTAATGTCAGGGTGTCCCCCTCCCCAGCACCCCATCTCCACAGAGCAGGGGTGGGACACAACAGGGCTCAGAATGGAGGGAACCTGCTGGCAGCAGCTGCTGTCTCAACTTGCTGATCTATTTAAAAGGCATTGTACTTACAGTGGGGTCAGCGTACTTAAAGGGGCAATGCATATCTTTCTCTCTCTCACACACAGTGTGTGTCTCTGTCTCTCGGGAACAAACCATCCTGATGTGCAGAAAGAATAGCAAATACGGCAGGCAACCAGCTTGGCTTAACCGTGTGCTTAAACTCAAAAAGGAAGCTTACAAGAAGTGGAAATTTGGACAGATGACTAGGGAGGAGTATAAAAATATTGCTAGAGCATTCAGGGGTATAATCAGGAAGGCCAAGGCACAATTGGAATTGCAGCTAGCAAGGGATGTGAAGGGTGACAAGAAGGGTTTCTACAGGTATGTTAGCAACAAGAAGGTGGTCAGAGAAAGTGTGGGACCCTTACTGAATGGGGGAGGCAACATAGTGATAGATGATGTGAAAAAGGTGAAGTACTCAATGCTTTTTTTGCCTCAGTCTTCACAGACAAGGGCAGCTCCCAGACTGCTGCACTGGGCAACACAGCATGGGGAGGAGGTGAGCAGCCCTCAGTGGTGAAAGAACCGGTTAAAGACTATTTAGAAAAGCTGGACATGCACAAGTCCATGGGTCCAGATTTAATGCATCCAAGGGTGCTGAGGAAGTTGGCTGATGTGATTGCAGAGCCACTGGCCATTATCTCTGAAAATTCATGGCAATCGGGGGAGGTCCCGGATGACTGGAAAAAGGCAAATATAGTACCCATATTTAAAAAAGGGAAAAAAGAGAACCCGGGGAACTACAGACCAGTCGGCGTCACTTCAGTCCCCAGCAAAATCATGGAGCAGGTCCTCAAGGAATCCATTTTGAAGCACTTGGAGGAGAGGAAGGTGATCAGGAACAGTCAACATGGATTCACCAAGGGGAAGTCATGTCTGACCAACCTGATTGCCTCTGTGGATATGGGGAAAGCGGTGGATGTGATATAACTTGACTTTAGCAAAGCTTTTGATATGGTTGCCCACATTATTCTTACCAACAAGTTAAAAAAGTATGGATTGGATGAATGGACTATAAGGTGGATAGAAAGCTGGCTAGATGGTCGGGCTCAACGGGTTGTGATCAATGGCTCGATGTCTAGTTGGCAGCCGGTATCAAGTGGAGTGTCCCAGGGGTCAGTCCGGGGGCCGGTTTTGTTCAACATCTTTATTAATGATGATCTGGATGATGGGATTAATTGCACCCACAGCAAATTCGCAGATGACACTAAGCTGGAGAGAGAGGTAGATACGATGGAGGGTAGGGATAGGGTCCAGAGTGACCTAGACAAATTGGAGGATTAGGCCAAAAGAAATCTGATGAAGTTCAACCAGGACAAGTGCAGAGTTCTGCACTTAGGAAGGAAGAATCCCATGCACTGTTACAGACTAGGGACTGACTGGCTAAGCAGCAGTTCTGGAGAAAAGGACCTGGGGATTACAGTGGATGAAAAGCTGGATATGAATCAGCAGTGTGCCCTTGTCACCAAGAAGGCCAATGGTATATTGGGCTGTATTAGTAGGAGCATTGCCAGCAGATCGGGCAATTTCCCCTCTATTCGGAATATTCCCCTCTATTTGGCACTGGTGAGGCCACACCTGGAGTACTGCATCCAGTTTTGGTCCCCCCACTACAGAAGGGATGTGGACAAATTGGAGAGAGTCCAGTGGAGGGCAACGTAAATGATTAGGGGGATGGGGCACATGACTTACGAGGAGAGACTGAGGGAACTGGGGTTATTTAGTCTGCAGAAGAGAAGAGTGAGGGGGGATTTGATAGCAGCCTTCAATTACCTGAAGGGGGGTTCCAGAGAGGATGGAGCTAGGCTGTTCTCAGTGGTGGCAGATGACAGAACAAGAAACAATGGTCTCAAGTTGCAGTGGGGGAGGTCTAGGTTGGATATTAGGAAACACTATTTCACTAGGAGGGTGGTGAAGCACTGGAATGGGTTACCTAGTGAGGTGGTGGAATCTCTATCCTTAGAGGTTTTTAAGGCCCGGCTTGACAAAGCCTTGGCTGGGATGATTTAGTTGGTGTTGGTCCTGCTTTGAGCAGGGGATTGGACTGGATGACCTCTTGAGGTCTCTTCCAACCCTAATATTCTATAATTCTCTGCCTTGCTGTCTCCCCTCCCTCCATTTGTGCTGCCTTGTAGAGTGTGAGGCTACATTAACAACAAGGTGTTAACCCTTGAGGGCTCAGCCGAGTGCTAGTTCATCATTTAGCAGCAAGGCATTCCCAGGAAAATATCCCACCCACTTCCACCCTCTGATTTCACCACCTCAACCAAGCTTCACAATCATCATTGCTGTGTACAGCATTAAATTGTTTAAAACTTATACTGTGTGTGTGTGTGTGCGCGCGTGTACACACACATACATATACAAAAACCAAAACAAAAACCAAAACAAAAAAACAGTCATCTTTTGTCTGGCGAAAAAAATTTCCCTGGAACTTAAACCCCCCCCGCCCCGTTTACATTAATTCTTATGGGGAAATTGGATTCGTTTAACATAGTTTCCCTTAAAGTAGCATTTTTCAGGAACATAACTACAACGTTAAGCGAGGAGTTACTGCATAGTAAACACTGGTCTCAGACTGAAAAAAATGTAAGACTGCTAATTCAAACAAATGTAATAATCAACCAAAGGCCAACAAATGTGGGGAATTATAGAAACAGTTCAGCTACACTACCATCTAATGGCCAAGCTGGAAAAATACTTGAGCAGCTTCTATTACTTAATGAATATGTAAAACCCATCTCAAACCCATCAAGTTTGGTTGCTATCAGAACTCTTCAGTGGTTACACATTTTTATATGTTTAGCAGAAGCTAGCATGCTGATCACAAAGATTACATATCCATGACAAGACTAAACTTTTCATTTAAAGTTCTTCCTCTTAAATCATCCCACATCATTTTTTGTAGCCATTATCAAAGAAGATGTAAATATATTTACAAAATTCGTGTTGGAATGAGCATTTAACATAAGAGCTGTTCATCCACAGTAGATGAGCACAAACACACTTCCAGAAAAGCACATTATCCAACTACCCCTTAGCTTATTTTTTGCAAAATTTCAGTTCATCCTCTGTGAGGACTTACCTGTCTCAGGGTCTAGACGGATCACTCTCCCTCCATCATAACAGGCTACCCAGAGTTTGCCTTCTGTATCAATACACATTCCATCAGGGATGCTTTCTTCCTTTTCTAGCTTGTATATACTCCTGCGATTGGCTGCAAAAGGAAATCAACGGGCATTGTACACTAAGTGAGATATTAAGTTATTGTGAGTTAACATTTTCCTAAGTCATACTCCAAGAAATAGCTAAGAAAGATGATTTTCTAATGCTGCACTGAATCCAGCTCCCTGCACTCTTGCAGAGGAGAGAGTATATAAGATCAGTTTGTTTCTGCAGATGGTTATTATTCAGCTTGACAGCCTGCAAGTCAGTCTGACTGTCAAAAACACAACAATTATTTTTGGTGCTCTCTTCTGATGTGTCAACCATATTTTTTCCCCTAACTATAAATTAGGGAACTATTGAATATATTATAGGAATTAATAATTTGTGTATTCCAAATTTGACTCTTTTCCATCTGTACAACATTTTATAAGCTGTCTGGGCCATTTCATAAATGGATTTTTTTCAATCAAACTGAGAACTGGAGCCATCTCAATAAAGAGATTCCCAGAACACACCACCAATTGTTCCAACACAAAGCTGACATTCAAAATATATAAATCAACAAAGTTGGGAAAACCATGAACTCAAAGAGACACTGTCAATTTAAAAAAAATTGCACTTTATATGAACATTTTACCACCCACTATTATTACAAGATATTAACAAAACAAAATCCAACTGTTCTAGTTTGTTTATTCTGCGTTTTGACAATTGACTGTCAGAGTCTGTTTGTTCGTAGGTTTCCTTTTCCTGCGTGGGGCTTTCTAAAATAGAAAAATGTGATTGTAAACCTCCAATATGGCAATGGGACTTGGGGCAGACATCGTACCTAAAACTACTTTAAACTCAATTTTAAAACTGACCAGATTTCAAACTGATGGCATCCCTTTAAAGTGAATTATTATGGCTCATGTCACTTTAAACCAAATTGTTAAGAGTCCAAGTTGGTGGAGTTTTTCCATTTACCCATGCCTGTGGAAAGACCTTAAGGTTGTGGTGTTGGATTTTTTTTGGTTTTTTTCCCCCATAAATGGGGGAAGATGATGTTTGAGTTACTACTTTTCAGCGGTTGGTTGGCTCTCTAGGATCTTCTTCAGTTAGGGATTTCCATTTTAAAACAATATGAATGCACATACTATAAAAGCATAGCACGTTTTATACTTTGAAAAAATGCACTACAAACTTCTCTGCTAATTCACCTACTGTTTCATAATAACAGACAGCATAGCCACTGGAGTATAATGAGGCAAAAATGCTTCACACTTGATAAAACAGGAACATTAGAAGTGAATTGTGAGTGTATAATCAATGAATGTACAATTTACAGGCTCAGCATAGATTGCAATGGATAAAATGAATTTTAACAATCATTCCAGGTCAATTATTTGAACCCCGATATATAATTCAATAATGTCCTAATATGAACCAACCCATCTAATTACTCTGAGCCGGGAACCTTCTTAGATGAGCAGTTTTTTTAACCCGGTTTCTGCTAACTTGTCTTAAACAGAGTTTTGATGTCCAGCATGGCTGAAATCAAACCACATTTAAACTAACTCAAAAAATAATGTTGTAGGACCACCGGCGTAAGTAGGGCCTGGGTCACAATTGATTTTTTGCTTAATAGTTAAAGAAAAAACTGCACAGAAAGTAACTTTAAAATATTTTAGCATAAGAAAAGAATTCGTACAAATTTTTCCTGTTTGCAGGTCATAATCAAAGGCATCCACAGAGTAGGACAGGCTATCAATGTAAAAGAAAGTCTTGTGATCCAGTGACCAATCCAAGCCATTAGAGATGTCCACCTGATCAAAGTGCTTCACTACAGAATGATCAGGGAAGAGTGTATACAGAGCACCTTGGTGTCTCTCTAGCACAGCAGGTCGAATCTCCTCAGCCATGGTACCTACAGGAATGAGAGGGTCATTCATTAGAAAGCACAGCTCCACAGAAATCAAATGCACTCCTTATACCACATCGCTCGCCCGCACCGCTTCCTGCCGCCCCCATTGGCACAGGACGGTGAACCACGGCCAGTGGGGGCCACGATCGGCCGAACCTGCCACGTCAGCAGGTAAATAAACTGGCCCAGCCCGCTAGGGTGCTTACCCTGGCGAGCCACGTGCCAAAACGTTGCTGACCCCTGCCTTATACAGTGGCAATGACTGCCTCTGACATAAAACTTCCCTCTAACTTTGACTAGGTTTTCTCCTTAAAACATTCAAAAAAGAGATTTAGTTAAAACCAAAAGGGAGAAGGCAAATTTGATTGTGTGCATTTAACAAAAGATGACAAATAAAATTAAAGATTTTTTTTTAATTGCGGTTGCAAAGGATTTGAAGGCAATCGTGCTAGCACTGTTAATTATCTAGTGTTTTCAAACATTAAGATGGTCATCACAATTTAATGCCCTTCCCCCCTTAAAAACCCACAAACATAGGAAAAAATTGCACTAACTTTAGAATCAGGGCTTCAGAAGTCTTAAAATCTTAAATGACAAGTTATGCCACAAATATAGAGATAATTTGGGGGGGGTTCGGTAAGAGAAAATTAATATACATTTGAAATTTCAAGGTTTAACTTCAGATACACTCTCCCTGTTTTGAAAACACTTTGCTGTATGCTTACATTGTTTTTACAAATATCTATATTCAGTGTATGGGAAACAAACAATAACTTGGCATGGCAAGTTTTCCACTGTAAACATATTTGCATTGGTATTTTCCAAGTGCATTCAAAACAAGTCATGCATGCCAACATCTGAGACAAGAGAATAATTTTTATACTATCCGAGTTTTAAATAAGAACTTCCCTTAAAAAAAAAAAAAGAATAGTGCTCTGGGGTGATACATTTTTAAAAGTGGATTAAATCAACATTGCATTTTAGAATTAGATTTGGTGTGGTTTGGAAGTAAGAAGACTTCCACGACTTGAACAGACACTTCGTGCATCTGCCAGGGTTCTTTACAAATTGTCCCTAAAATCTTAGGAAAAAATTACTGAAGAGGAATGGGAATTATGTCCACCGTACCTGCAAAAAACCTCCCTGCAGGGTCCACTTTCCCATCATTGAATCTGTTGTTTGGTTTATCCTTGTCAACGTGAACAATGGTGGTTACTGACTGGTCTTTCCATTTTAAAGCAGCAAACCTGGTTCCTAGGGTAACAACATAATCCCCAGATTTCCGAAGGGCTACGCTGCTAACAGGAGCATCTAGAGACAACATAAGAAAACGGGGGTGAGGGGAGAAGTAAAATACTATAACTGTAGATAAAAGCAATCAGCCACCTGTAACCAACATATGATTGCTCATCACATTCATAACCAAGGTTAACAAATATTTCATTCATATCCAGATGCTATTTTTCTATTTGTAATGTTTTTGGCCAAGTACTGCTCAAGCACAAGCACGAATAATAATTGATAATTAATCTCACTTTAATTAATCTGGGCCTTCCTGGATGACATGGTCCATCTATCATTCACGAGCCAAGTAGCATTTGTCACGACACACAAGAAGCTTGTATTGTATGTACATGCTTGTGCACACTTATGGAATTCTATTAGTGAGAACTATGAACTAATATTGCACACCCAAAAGTATTCAAATTATATATTGAATTAATTTATAGACTGCAAGCTCCTTGGGGAAGGTATCATATTGTCCTGTATAGATATAGAA